CCTCTCTACATTTTCTTCATCTGTTTCTGCTGCTAAGGCCACTTTCTACCACTCTAAATTCCAAGCATCTGCCTCTAACCCTAGGAAGCTCTTTGCCACATTTTCCTCCCTGCTGAATCCTCCCCCCCCAGTTCTAGGCCCTCTCCTATTCTCCCTATACACCAAGTCACTTGGCTCTGTCATATCCTCACATGGCCTCTCCTATCACTGCTACGCTGACGATACACAACTAATCTTCTCCTTTCCCCCTTCTGATAACCAGGTGGCGAATCGCATCTCTGCATGTCTGGCAGACATATCAGTATGGATGACGGATCACAACCTCAAGCTGAACCCTGGCAAGACGGAGCTGCTCTTCCTCCCGGGGAAGGACTGCCCGTTCCATGATCTCGCCATCACGGTTGACAACTCCGTTGTGTCCTCCACCCAGAGTGCGAAGAGCCTTGGCGTGACCCTGGACAACACCCTGTCGTTCTCCGCTAACATCAAGGCGGTGACCCGATCCTGCAGGTTCATGCTCTACAACATTCGGAGAGTACGACCCTGCCTTACACAGGAAGCGGCACAGGTCCTAATCCAGGCACTTGTCATCTCCCGTCTGGATTACTGCAACTCGCTGTTGGCTGGCCTCCCTGCCTGTGCCATTAAACCCCTACAACTCATCCAGAATGCCGCAGCCCGTCTGGTGTTCCACCTTCCCAAGTTCTCTCACGTCACCCCCCTCCTCCGCACACTCCACTGGCTTCCAGTTGAAGCTCGCATCCGTTACAAGACCATGGTGCTTGCCTATGGAGCAGTGAGGGGAACGGCACCTCCGTACCTTCGGGCTCTGATCAGTCCCTACACCCAAACGAGGGCATTGCGTTCATCCACCTCTGGCCTGCTGGCTCCCCTTCCTCTGCGGAAGCATAGTTCCCGCTCAGCCCAGTCAAAACTGTTCGCTGCTCTGGCACCCCAATGGTGGAACAAGCTCCCTCACGACGCCAGGACAGCGGAGTCACTCACCACCTTCCGGAGACATTTGAAACCCCACCTCTTTAAGGAATACCTGGGATAGGATAAAGTAATCCTTCTACCCACCCCCCCCCCCCCCCCAAAAAAAAAAAAAAAAAAAAGTGTAAATTGGTTTTCCCACGCTATATGGTGAATGCACCAATTTGTAAGTCGCTTGGATAAGAGCGTCTGCTAAATGACGTAATGTGCCCTTGAGCAAGGCACTTAACCCTATTGCTCCTGTAAGTCGCTCTGGATAAGAGCGTCTGCTAAATGACTAAAATGTAATGTAAAAAATGTAATTACAAGCAGGCTTGACTTCTGTAATGCTCTACCCAAGAAAGCCATTGGTCAACTGCAAAACATACAGAATGCTGCAGCACGGGTACTGACCAAGACCAGACTGAGGGCACACATTACACCGGTTTTAAGGGGTCTGCACTGGCTGCCTGTGAGTTTTAGAATTAATTTTCTATTGGTTTTTAAATCAATCTACAATTGTGCACCCCAATACATGTCAGACATGCTTTTAAATTATGTACCCAGTCAGTCCCTCAGGTACTGGCCATTTAACTATCCCAAAGCCTAGGACCAAGACGCATGGAGAGGCAGCCTTTAGTTACTATGCCCCCAGCCTTTGGAATAGCCTGCCAAAGAACTTGAGGGGGTCCGAAACTGGGGACATTTTTAAAATAGATCTTAAAACACACCTTTTTAGCTTTGCTTTTCCTTAGGGTGTTTTTTTGTCGTTCAGTTTTTGTTATTCTATTGTTTTTTATCCTCTTATGTTTGTTGTATAGTAAATATTTAATTGTTTTTATTAGTTTTTTCCTGTAAAGCACATTGTGTTGCATTCCATGTCTGAAATGTGCTGTATAAATAAAGCTTGATTTGATAACTAGCTATGATGTGGGGGTAAAATGAAATTGGGCCAGGTCTCAGCATGTGAGCTCAGCTGTCTGCAATCTGCACATATTACACAGAAAGCCAAGGTGGCCAATACATTAGTAATGAAAAGCTCAGTATGTAGAGGATGATAAATAATACAACTGTCAAGGCCCAGTGGCAAACAGGCTGTAAGGAATGTGTGTTGAGTCCTCGTGTCAGAGGAGAAGAGGCCATTCCATCATGCTCTCAAATATTTACCTTGTCAGTGCTAGACAGAGGGCTCAGCGGCCCAGAACAGTCCCAGAAAGGGAGATAGGGCAGAGGCTACAGCAAGGCAACCTCAAGGCCTACTGTACTGTACCTATGGACCTCTGTAGACTTCAAGCTGCTCGCTCCGACCTCAGATGTCAAAGCCAATTTGGTATTATGTAATAATCTGTTTTCTGTTCAAATGGCGATAGGAATCTGATCTGGAGTCTCAATGTGATCCACTGATTCAAAGGACACTTTATACATATTGCAAAGCTACTGTGGGAAAGGGATTGTGAGCCCAGCTAGCCTAGTAGCCTACCACCACTACTGATAGTGTGGAAGATACAGTATACTGTTTGGATACTGGTTAGGCAGCTACTGTATATGACTGGTGTGGAAGGGAAGGGGTGCTACTGAAAGATGTTTAATCTGAACTGTCTCAGTAAAAGTCAAGCTGTATAAAGGGAAGATTGGGGTAGAATAAAGTGACATCAGGCATGTGGTAGGCCTACATGTGGTTTTTCAGGTTTGGAAATCCCATTCTGGAAAACAAAATGGCTACCACATACTGTAGGCTACTGTGTGCTAGTCAAGACAGTACCGAGGCTAGAAGGTACAGAAGCCCATACAAATTAGGGCTCTATTCAATCCATATCGTGGAAATTCAGCGCTATTGCGCAATTTAAACGTTAAGGCAATTAGCGTTAGCAGAGACTGCATTCATGGTAAACGCTGCAGATGTCGGCTCAATAGGAAATTACCTTTACATTTCCTGTAATGTTTCAGCAATACAGATGGAATAGAGCTCTTAGCGTTATGAAATTATACTTTAAAAAATGTCTAGTACTACATCCATATCTTTCCATCATGAATCATCTGTGGAAATACAGAAGCATTCAAATAATTAGAGTCATTTGTATGGGAGATGACGGTGTGTAAATCGCCATATGTATAGCATTAGACACTGTCAACATAGTCATCCAATTCCCTTTCCTCTTGAAAAACAGCCATTTCCCACAAGGGCAAGGGGCCCCCAGATTGAATAATGTCTCCATATACATGCTGAGCGATTAGAGTTATGTCCTCCACTTACACTCTGCCGTGCCTAGATTGATGTTCAACACGTAATCATGGCTCACTCTGCTGCGTGCACAGTAAATCCTAACCATGTCTGCGTCCCAAATGCCACCCTATTCCCTATATAGTGCACTACTTTTGACCAGGTCCCATGGGTTTCCTCTGGCTCTGTCCTTGAGAATTGCACCCTATTCTACCCTACAGTTGTGGTCAAAAGTTTTGAGAATGACACAGGTATTGGTCTTCACAAAGTTCGCTGCTTCAGTGTTATGAGATATTTTTGTCAGATGTTACTATGGTATACTGAAGTATAATTACAAGCATTCCATAAGTGTCAAAGGCTTTTATTGACAATTACATTAAAAAGTTTATGCAAAGAGTCAATATTTGCAGTGTTGACCTTTCTTTTTCAAGACCTCTGCAATCCGCCCTGGCATGCTGTCAATTAACTTCTGGGCCACATCCTGACTGATGGCAGCCCATTCTTGCATAATCACTGCTTGGAGTTTGTCAGAATTTGTGGGATTTTGTTTGTCCACCCGCCTCTTGAGGATCGACCACAAGTTCTCAATGGGATTAAGGTCTGGGGAGTTTCCTGGCCATGGACCCAAAATGTAAATGTTTTGTTCCCCGAGCCACTTAGTTATCACTTTTGTCTTATGGCAAGGTGCTCCATCATGTTGGAAAAGGCATTGGTCGTCACCAAACTGTTCTTGGATGGTTGGGAGAAGTTGCTCTCAGAGGATGTGTTGGTACCATTCTTTATTCATGGCTGTGTTCTTAGGCAAAATTGTGAGTGAGCCCACTCCCTTGGCTGAGAAGCAACCCCACACATGAATGGTCTCAGGATGCTTTACTGTTGGCATGACACAGGACTGATGGTAGCGCTCACCTTGTCTTCTCTGGACAATGTGTTTTCCGGATGCCCCAAACAATCGGAAAGGGGATTCATCAGAGAAAATGACTTTACCCCAGTCCTCAGCAGTCCAATCCCTGTACCTTTTGCAGAATATCTGTCTGTCCCTGATGTTTTTCCTGGAGAGAAATGGCTTCTTTTGCTGCCCTTCTTGACACCAGGCCATCCTCCAAAACTCTTCGACTCACAGTGCGTGCAGATGCACTCACACCTGCCTGCTGCCATTCCTGAGCAAGCTCTGCACTGGTGGTGCCCCGATCCCGCAGCTGAACCAACTTTAGGAGACGGTCCTGGCGCTTGCTGGACTTTCTTGGGCGCCCTGACGCCTTCTTCACAACAATTGAACCTCTCTCCTTGAAGTTCTTGATGATCCGATAAATGGTTGATTTAGGTGCAATCTTACTAGCAGCAATATCCTTGCCTGTGAAGCCCTTTTTGTGCAAAGCAATGATGACGGCACGTGTTTCCTTGCAGGTAACCATGGTTAACAGAGGAAGAATAATGATTTCAAGCACCACCCTCCTTTTAAAGCTTCCAGTCTGTTATTCTAACTCAATCAGCATGACAGAGTGATCTCCAGCCTTGTCCTCGTCAACTCTCACCTGTGTTAATGAGAATCACTGACATGATGGCAGCCCTGCCTTTTGTGGCAGGGCTGAAATACAGTGGAAATGTTTTTTTGGGAATTAAGTTCATTTTCATGGCAAAGAGGGACTTTTCAATTAATTGCAATTCATCTGATCACTCTTTGTGACATTCTGGAGTATATGCAAATTGCCATCATCAAAACTGAGGCAGCAGACTTTGTGAAAATGTGTATTTGTGTCATTCTCAAAACTTTTGACCACGACTGTAGTACTCTACTGTATCAAGCAAAAGAGAAGGGGCAGGGTATCTACTGAGCATTTGTGGTATATTTCAAGTAAATTGTATGGCATATCAATATCAACAGTATGCTATTACATTTTGCTACAGTGTGATGAAAGATACTAAAGTCATGCAGTTGTCATTGTCATGGGGGTCAACTGGTTCTGATTGTAACTCACAGGAATCAATCAATGTTAACAACAGGCGCTTTATTCAGATATGTACGTTTTTTTACATTAAAAGTATCAGTACTGTGTCATATTCTGTGTTAAACAGAGACAGCAACACATCAGAAAGAAAGACGATATGGTAAAAAAGAAACAGGGGACTTTCAAATATGATTTGACAGTTACTGAGCCCTAACAAATGAATACATTTCAACATAAAAGTATGCTGAAACGGTGAGCCTAATATCCCTTGTCCCAGACCTTAAGAGTGGAGAAGATGATGACTGCAGGGTCAAAATAAAGACCAGAGCTCCATCCAGAGAAACAGAGAAGTCCTGGGCTGGGGGATTCCTGAAACCAGCCCACCAAACCTGGCCTTGTGACTGCCTGGCTGTCTTGTCTGAGCTGGCTGGCTGTCACACAGGGTGAATGGAATGACCCAGTGAACGACCAGCCCCAGCTCTGCTCCACTCCTCTCCTCTCCACTCCAGGCAGACAGCCCTGTAGTCTCAGTCAGCAGTGTCAGGATGCCACTATCTAATGGTGTCAGTGTCCCAGACCCAACGCTAGCTACACAGCCAGTCTATTGATGTTGAATATTTTGACAGAGTGGTCTGCCCCGGCGCTGGCCAGCTGCACCCAGGAGCTGTCTGCTCCTGTGACCCTGCCTTCGCCCTCCTCCTCGCCCCCCTGGCCAGCCCGGCCAGCCCGGCCCGCCCTCGGCCTCCAGCGCAGCCTCTTCACTGTCAACGCATGACTCTGACTGGAGGGGGGAGGTGTTGTCAAGGAAACAAGACAAAGAGTGGTGACAGTGTACAACAGTCATAGTGCAGCAGTGTGTTGTTCTGTCTCCCTCAAGCAGACTGTATATAAAGGACATGGTTAGGCACATGGAAATACAGTGCATTTGGAAAGAATTCAGACCCCTTCACTTTTTCTACATTTTGTTACGTTACAGCCTTATTCTAAAATGGATTAAAAAAAATATATTCCCTCATCAATCTACACACAATACCTCGTAATGACAAAGCAAAAATAGTTTCTATACATTTTTGCAAATGTATTAAAAATACTCAAATATCACATTTACATAAGTATTCAGACGCTTTACTCAATACTGTCATGACTTGCCCTCATGGGCTGAGGATCAAAGATGCCGGCAAGGCAAAGGTTTGAACACCCCCGTTTCCTGGGGGCCAGTTTCATGATCGGTCATAAATTCCTTGCAGAAATGTTATTTTCCGTGCCATGCAGTATTGGGAGAGGGAATTTCCCTGTGAGACAAAGGAAGTCTTCCCGCCAAGACTCCAACATCCAAAAGTGGATAATGAAACAATATTCCTACTTAAAATAATGTGGGAAATGGTCAGTGGGGACTTAAAAAACAATCATGTCAAATTCCTTACTATGTTGTGATGTCTTTAAAGATGGTGGAACAACAAAACTGTATCTCTGGGGGTGTACACTTCCCAGTTATGAGGTTTGCATCCAATTGTTGTATAAAACAAATGATTTAGTATAATAATACGTTTGTGAAGATAAATGTGATATTAGCATTCTAGATGAGATGATTGTTTTCCATATTGATTTGTTCTCAGTCAGTGGCCACGCCCAGATGAGCACAAACATGATGGAATGCCCCTTTTACCCCGAGTGCATAAAAAGCCTTGAAAAACAAATTAACCTCAGACCAGGAAGCCCCACGGCTTAAAATGGTTGACACTCTACAAGACCAGCAGACGTGAAGCGTGAACGTTACAAAATGGTTTAAAACTACAACTCCATTACCAAAGGAAACCAAGCAGCTTACGGTATAAGCTGGATGTTGCAAATGGTTGAATTTCTACCAGACCAGGAAGCGTGAAGCTGTTAGTCCACACGTTTGAAATGGAGAAACTCTGAAACTCTCAACCTCTACACGAGGTGAAGAAGAAGACAATGCACTAGACCTCATCTCAGTCTGCAGCTGGCATACAGTGGGGAGAACAAGTATTTGATACATTGCCGATTTTGCAGGTTTTCCTACTTACAAAGCATGTAGAGGTCTGTAATTTTTATCATAGGTACACATCAACTGTGAGAGACAGAATCTAAAACAAAAATCCAGAAAATCACATTGTATGATTTTTAAGTAATTAATTTGCATTTTATTGCATGACATAAGTATTTGATACATCAGAAAAGCAGAACTTAATATTTGGTACAGAAACCTTTGTTTGCAATTACAGAGATCATATGTTTCCTGTAGGTCTTGACCAGGTTTGCACACACTGCAGCAGGGATTTTGGCCCACTCCTCCAAACAGACCTTCTCCAGATCCTGGCTAAGCCACTCCAGGACCTTGAGATGCTTCTTACGGAGCCACTCCTTACTTGCCCTGGCTGTGTGTTTCAGGTCGTTGTCATGCTGGAATACCCAGCCACGACCCATCTTCAATGCTCTTACTGAGGGAAGGAGGTTGTTGGCCAAGATCTCGCGATACATGGCCCCATCCATCCTCCCCTCAAAACGGTGCAGTCGTCCTGTCCCCTTTGCAGAAAAGCATCCCCAAAGAATGATGTTTCCACGTCCATGCTTCACGGTTGGGATGGTGTTCTTGGGGTTGTACTCATTCTTCTTCTTCCTCCAAACACGGCGAGTGGAGTTTAGACCAAAAAGCTCTATTTTTGTCTAATCAGACCACATGACCTTCTCCCATTCCTCCTCTGGATCATCCAGATGGTCATTGGCAAACTTCAGACGGGCCTGGACATGCGCTGGCTTCAGCAGGGGGACCTTGCGTGCGCTGCAGGATTTTAATCCATGACGGCGTAGTGTGTTACTAATGGTTTTCTTTGAGACTGTGGTCCCAGCTCTCTTCAGGTCATTGACCAGGTCCTGCCGTGTAGTTCTGGGCTGATCCCTCACCTTCCTCATGATCATTGATGCCCCACAAGGTGAGATCTTGCATGGAGCCCCAGACCGAGGGTGATTGACCGTCATCTTGAACTTCTTCAATTTTCAAATAATTGTGCCAACAGTTGTTTTCTTCTCACCAAGCTGCTTGCCTATTGTCCTGTATCCCATCCCAGCCTTGTGCAGGTCTACAATTTTATCCCTGATGTCCTTACACAGCTCTCTGGTCTTGGCCATTGTGGAGAGGTTGGAGTCTGTTTGATTGAGTGTGTGGACAGGTGTCTTTTATACAGGTAACGAGTTCAAACAGGTGCAGTTAATACAGGTATGAAAAAATAACAGGTCTGTGAGAGCCGGAATTCTTACTGGTTGGTAGGTGATCAAATACTCATGTCATGCAATAAAATGCAAATTAATTACTTAAAAATCATACAATGTGATTTTCTGGATTTTTGTTTTAGATTCCGTCTCTCACAGTTGAAGTGTACCTATGATAAAAATTACAGACCTCTACATGCTTTGTAAGTAGGAAAACCTGCAAAATCGGCAGTGTATCAAATACTTGTTCTCCCCACTGTATATAGGCGTCTAGAGAACATTCACTAAATACACAAGTTGGGAAGGACAATCCCGCTCAGACAACCGCTGATACATCTGAAGTATCCATTCTAACCACCACTACGACCAGAAACTCTACCAAGGACATTGGGATCTTTGGTGGGCAAACCAGAACCCTACATCATCAACTCAACTATCGAGGACAGCTACACGTAAATACATGTTGCATTTCTAATCCGAATGAGCGTTTAGTGGGGTTTTAAGCATTTGTATTTCCGTAAGCGTAGTTTCCAAAGTAACCACAATAGTTTGAATCTCTGCCTCTCCCTTCCACTCTGACCCTCCTTCTACCCAAGCATTCATGCTATTGTTAGTCCAGTCCACTAGGGACCTGTTTTCATCAATAACCTGTGTGTGTGTGTGTTTGTATTGTGTTATTATTTAGTTAGTAAATAAATAATTAAGCCAATTTGTGTATTGCTGATTCATCAATAAGGTTTGGGTTCTTGCAGGTTCAAGGATTATGCGACGTTCAGAATGAGACTGATAAGAGGTAATTATTTGATAAGTGACTGTTATCGATATATAACATATATATCTTCTAAGAGTTTAATTTGGGAGATGGTAACTCGTTAAATAACTTCTTCCGTGGTGCCCCAAATTCCTAATGAGTTAATTGTTACATGATTAATTTAGTGACAATTTAACATAGTTAGGTGATTCGATAAATAACAGTCACACATTAAAGTTAGTCACGTCACGACAGTACTTTGTTGAAGCACCTTTGGCAGTGATTACAGCCTTGAGTCTTCTTGGGTATGACACACCTGTATTTGGGGAGTTTCACCCATTCTTCTCTGCAGATCCTCTCAAGCTCTGTCAGGTTGGATGGGGAGCGTCGCTGCACAGCTATTTTCAGGTCTCTCCAGAGATGTTCGATCGGGTTCAAGTCCGGGCTGGCTGGGCCACTCAAGGACATTCAGACTCGTCCCGAAGCCACTCCTGCGTCGTCTTGGCTGTGTGCTTAGGGTCATTGTCTTGTTGGAAGTTGAACCTTCGCCCCAATCTGAGGTTCTGAGCACTCTGGAGCAGGTTTTCATCAAGGATCTCTCTGTACTTTGCTCCGTTCAGCTTTCTCTTGATCCTGACTAGTCTCCCAGTCCCTGCCACTGAAAAACATCCCCACAGCATGATGCTGCCACCACCATGCTTCACCATAGGGATGGTGCCAGGTTTCCTCCAGACGTGACGCTTGGCATTCAGGCCAAAGAGTTCAATCTTGGTTTCATCAGACAAGAGAATCTTGTTTCTCATGGTCAGAGTCCTTCAGGTGCCTTTTGTCAAACTCCAAACAGGCAGTCATTGCCTTTTACTGAGGAGTGGCTTCCGGCTTGCCACTCTACCATAAAAGGCCTGATTGGTGGAGTGCTGCAGAGATGGTTGTCCTTCTGGAAGGTTCTCCCATCTCCACAGAGGAACTCTATCAGAGTGACCATCGGGTTCTTGGTCACCTCCCTGACCAAGGCCCTTCTCCCCCGATTGCTCAGTTTGGCTGGGAGTCCAGCTCTAGTAAGAGTCTTCGTGGTTCCAAACTTCTTCCATATAAGAATGATGGAGGCCACTGTGTTCTTGGTGACCTTCAATGCTGCAGATATTTTTTGGTACCCTTCCCCAGATCTGTGCCTCGACACAATCCTGTCTCGGAGCTCTACGGACAATTCCTTTGACCTCATGGCTTGGTTTTTGCTCTGACATGCACTGTCAACTGTGGGACCTTATATAGACAGGTGTGTGCCTTTCCAAATCATGACTCCAATCAAGTTGTAGAAACATCTCAAGGATGATCAATGGAAACAGGATGCACCTGAGATCAATGTCGAGTCTCATAGCAAAGGGTCTGAATACTTATGTAAATAAGGTATTTCTGTTTTTTATTTTTAATACATTTGTAAAAATGTCTAAAATTTCAAAAATATAAAAAGATGATGGGGAACAGACTTTCTAATTTACAATTTCAACATTTATATTTTGAGCTACAGCATGTTGTTTTCTGCAGTAGTAGAAGAATAATCCAAACTTTTACAGATCAGGTAACATTAGAACACTGTTTGAACATTTCCACAGGCTCTTCAGACCATGGATTTCACATCCTTCTCTTCATGACTCAGTGGAAACACCAGCCGGTGGGGCCTTCACAAAAAGAGTCTGTGGATTGTATTTCCTCCTCAATGACACTCTGTTATTACACAGCTATTCAAAACCACCTGGGAATAATATTTTTCCACGGTTAAAGGTACACTCAGCGAAATGACGTTGCCACAAGCAGCACAGCAGATATTGAGATGAGCGAGATGCAAGACTTTGCTCTCACAAAGTCACACACAGTATCTGCGCATGTGCACAGGTTCTCTTCACGCTGTTCCAGCGTGGTAGCCACGGGACCAAAACAGCAGAGAAGTTGAGCCTCACGCTTCAAACCTCTTAGTTGTTGCAGAAATTAACCCACTATGCTGTTTACTTGCTGCACCTACGTCATATCGCTCAGTCTAGGTACTTAGATGTTTTAGGTTGGAGTTTTTATGACTCTGCCAAGAGTTTTAAGGGTACGTCCCAAATGGCACCCTATTCCCTACATAGTGCACTACTTTTGACCAGGGCCCATAGGGTAGGGAATAGGGTGCCATTTGGGATGTACCCTTAAAACTCTTGTCAGAGTCATAGAAACTCCTGCCTAAAAAGTCAGAGTACCTTTTTGGGTATTTGTCATTGAGAGATGTTTTCTTGAGGAGGCTCCAGTGTAGAATAATGGAACCAGTGGTAATAAAAGTATTGGTAGTTAGTCAGTGCCAAAAGGTACGTGGGTGGTTAAAAGGCTATTTAAAAAACTGAAATGTGTGATGAAAACTTGGGATTGTGTGTGTGTGTGCATGTGCACATCAGTGTGTGTGCGTGTGCGTAAAGGATACGAGGTGTCTGTCTCTCCGTATCTGGTCCAGTCTGACGCTACAGCTCCAGCAGGCTCCTCACTGGGTCTCCACTTATACAGCAGGACCTGGCCACTCTCCAGCCCCACCGCCAACAGGTAGCTGGAGGAGCATCAATCAATCATTCAATCAAACTTTGTCCCCAGATGTAAATTTGGTTTGCAGGCAGGGTTAAAAATAAACATACAAAATAGTTAAATACAGATCACACAAAAGACAAATGAACACAGAAACATCATCATATTGCAAATTCAGGAACTGTCTGGCAATAAAGTGCATGTGCAACTCAAAGGCGGGGCACTAGACAGACAGGTGGTGCCACCTGTGTGGTGGCTACAAGGGAAGCATACTGAACATACTAAATCCAACATACAGTGAGGGAAAAAAGTATTTGATCCCCTGCTGATTTTGTACGTTTGCCCACTGACAAAGACATGATCAGTCTATAATTTTAATGGTAGGTTTATTTGAACAGTGAGAGACAGAATAACAACAAAAAAATCCAGAAAAATGCATGTCAAAAGTTTTATAAATTGATTTGCATTTTAATGAGGGAAATAAGTATTAGACCCCTCTGCAAAACATGACTTAGTACTTGGTGGCAAACCCTTGTTGGCAATCACAGAGGTCAGACGTTTCTTGTAGTTGGCCACCAGGTTTGCACACATCTCAGGAGGGATTTTGTTCCACTCCTCTTTGCAGATCTTCTCCAAGTCATTAAAGGTTTTGAGGCTGACGTTTGGCAACTCAAACCTTCAGCTCCCTCCACAGATTTTCTATGGGATTAAGGTCTGGAGACTGGCTAGGCCACTCCAGGACCTTAATGTGCTTCTTCTTGAGACACTCCTTTGTTGCCTTGGCCGTGTGTTTTGGGTCATTGTCATGCTGGAATACCCATCCACGACCCATTTTCAATGCCCTGGCTGAGGGTCACCCAAGATTTGACGGTACATGGCCCCGTCCATCGTCCCTTTGATGCGGTGAAGTTGTCCTGTCCCCTTAGCAGAAAAACACCCCCAAAGCATAATGTTTCCACCTCCATGTTTGACGGTGGGGATGGTGATCTTGGGGTCATAGGCAGCATTCCTCCTCCTCCAAACACGGCGAGTTGAGTTGATGCCAAAGAGCTCGATTTTGGTCTCATCTGACCACAACACTTTCACCCAGTTCTCTGAATCATTCAGATGTTCATTGGCAAACTTCAGACGGCCCTGTATATGTGCTTTCTTGAGCAGGGGGACTTTGCGGGCGCTGCAGGATTTCAGTCCTTCACGGCGTAGTGTGTTACCAATTGTTTTCTTGGTGACTATGGTCCCAGCTGCCTTGAGATCATTGACAAGATCCTCCCGTGTAGTTCTGAGCTGATTCCTCACCGTTCTCATGATCATTGCAACTCCACGAGGTGAGATCTTGCATGGAGCCCCAGACCGAGGGAGATTGACAGTTATTTTGTGTTTCTTCCATTTGCGAATAATCGCACCAACTGTTGTCACCTTCTCACCAAGCTGCTTGGCGATTGTCTTGTTGCCCATTCCAGCCTTGTGTAGGTCTACAATCTTGTCCCTGACATCCTTGGAGAGCTCTTTGGTCTTGGCCATGATGGAGAGTTTGGAATCTGATTGATTGATTGCTTCTGTGGACAGGTGTCTTTTATACATGTAACAAACTGAGATTAGGAGCACTCCCTTTAAGAGTGTGCTCCTAATCTCAGCTCGTTACCTGTATAAGACACATGGGAGCCAGAAATCTTTCTGATTGAGAGGGGGTCAAATACTTATTTCCCTCATTAAAATGCAAATCAATTTATAACATTTTTGACATGTGTTTTTCTGGATTCTTTTGTTGTTATTCTGTCTCTCACTGTTCAAATAAACCTACCATTAAAATTATAGACTGATCATTTCTTTGTCAGTGGGCAAACGTACAAAATCAGCAGGGGATCAAATACTTTTTTTCCTCACTGTACACACTACATATGTGGCATGAATAGGTTTAAGCAATAGGATTTAAGCGATAGGCTAAAGCTTCCCTATGCCTTCTTGCCTTCTGATAGGCTGCGTATACATTTCCGGCATACTGCTTATACCTATCCAGTATCCAATCATTTCAGATCTGCAGTAGTGCCTAGGGTGAAGGGGCAAGAGGTCGATTTGGAATTGTGCAAATAAGTGCTGTATTATGGTACCTGTTGTCGGGGCAGAGGACGGGGCAAAAGGAGACAGCAGTGGCCGAGTCTCCTACATCCAATATGGAGGAACAGGGCTGGATGACTGGAGGTTCATCAGGGGTCACACTGGCCTCAGAACTACTGCAGTCACCCCATACTATCACCTGTAAAGGGCGGCAGGTAGCCTAGCGATTAGAGCGTTGGGCCAGTAACTGAAAGGTTGCTGGTTAGAATCCCCAAGCCGAAAAGGCTCTGTCAATGTGCCCTTGAGCAAGGCACTTAACCCTAATTGCTCTTGTAAGTCGCTCTGGATAAGAGCGTCTGCTAAATTACGTAAATGTCAATGTAAAGGAAAAGGTGAATTAAGTTATACTGTCACTTCATACTAACATAGGCCATTTGTGCATCCCAAATGCCACCCTATTCCCTATAGGCCCTGCTCAAAAGAGGTGCACTACAAGGCCGTGACTAGACTTGACAGTTCATGCAGCTTTTGTATTCTGATCATGGAGTTCTGATCATGGAATTCCGAACACATCATGCGTCTACACCTATATTTAAATGTGTCTACCGTGTCCACAGTGTGTCCGGATTCCATTTTCCTGCGCTATATTGAAATGCCAGTATGCATTCTGCAAACGGTGGAAAAGGCTAAATCTGATAATAACACAACAACAACTTGATGGCTAACTACTGTAGCTAACTAGCTAGCAAGCAAAGCTAAAGGGATTGACAACAGGTTAGGATAACTAATCGTTTTCCTAATAAACTAGCTAGCTGGCTAGCATTTATGAAGCCAGCAAACACGTTCCTCACACGCTAGGAACGTATTTCCTCCAACATTTAATGAAAAAAGGTGCTTCTCGCTTTCTGGAGACTTGTGGGCAAAGTGCTGATGACGTCGCCCACTGTATGAGCTTTCGGTAGCCTGATTGCGTCCAGACTGAGCAGAAATCCGTACACAATGTGTCCCTACACACCACTTGAAGTGGTCAGCCAGATCTGAACACAATCTGAACACAATGCGACTTTTGTGCATCTGGACACGTCTTTTCAACGCGATCTTCGTATTCTGATAGCAGAAGTCGCATGGAAGTGTCAAGTCTAAAGGGAATAGGGTGCCATTTGGGACGCAGCCTACGATGAACAGCATCACACTACTTCTTCCTTACCATTGTGACCTTTACTTACTGAGGAGCTCATTTGTAACTAACAACCTTTAAAGGCTGAATCCTGACTTGCGCTTAACACATAATTAAATGTAATGTGAATCTTGTATTGATGTCAGAGGAGTCTTAAGCTGGAGTTCAGGGCCTGTATCACAAAGGGTCTCAGAGTAGGAGTGCTGATCTAGGATCAGATCCCCCTCCTCTAATTCATTATGATTTAAAAGGCGAGACTGATCCTTGATCAGCACTTCTTCTCTGAGACGCTTTGTGAACACGCGCCCAGACCTAAGTGAATACAGTGAGGGAAAAAAGTATTTGATCCCCTGCTGATTTTGTACATTTGCCCACTGACAAAGAAATGATCAGTCTATAAATTTAATGGTAGGATTATTTTAACAGTGAGAGACAGAATAACAACCAAAAATTCCAGAAAAACGCATGTAAAGAATGTTATAAATTGATTTGCATTTTAATGAGGGAAATAAGTATTTGACCCCCTCTCAATCAAAAAGATGTCTGGCTCCCAGGTGTCTTTTATACAGGTAATGAGCTGAGATTAGGAGCACACTCTTAAAGGGAGTGCTCCTAATCTCAGCTTGTTACCTGTATAAAATACACCTGTCCACAGAAGCAATCAATCAATCAGATTCCAAACTCTCCACCATGGCCAAGACCAAAGACCTCTCCAAGGATGTCAGGGACAAGATTGTAGACCTACACAAGACTGGAATGGGCTACAAGACCATCGCCAAGCAGCTTGGTGAGAAGGTAACAACAGTTTGTGCGATTATTCGCAAATGGAAGAAACACAAAATAACTGTCAATCTCCCTCGGCCTGGGGCTCCATGCAAGATCTCACCTCGTGGAGTTGCAATGATCATGAGAACCGGTGAGGAATCAGCCCAGAACTACATGGGAGGATCTTGCCAATGATCTCAAGGCAGCTGGGACCATAGTCACCAAGAAAACAATTGGTAACACACTACGCCGTGAAGGACTGAAATCCTGCAGCACCCTGCTCAAGAAAGCACATATACAAGCCCATCTGAAGTTTGCCAATGAACATCTGAATGATTCAGAGAAGAACTGGGTGAAAGTGTTGTGGTCAGATGAGACCAAAATCGAGCTCTTTGGCATCAACTCAACTCGCCGTGTTTGGAGGAGGAGGAGGAATGCTGCCTATGACCCCAAGAACACCATCCCCACCGTCAAACATGGAGGTGGAAACATTATGCTTTGGGGGTGTTTTTCTGCTAATGGGACAGGACAACTTCACCGCATCAAAGGGACGATGGACGGGGCCATGCACCGTCAAATCTTGGGTGAGAACCTCCTTCCCTCAGCCAGGGCATTGAAAATGGGTCGTGGATGGGTATTCCAGCATGACAATGACCCAAAACACACGGCCAAGACAACAAAGGAGTGGCTCAAGAAGAAGCACATTAAGGTCCTGGAGTGGCCTAGCCAGTCTCCAGACCTTAATCCCATAGAAAATCTGTGGAGGGAGCTGAAGGTTCGAGTTGCCAAATGTCAGCCTCGAAACCTTAATGACTTGGAGAAGATCTGCAAAGAGGAGTGGGACAAAATCCCTCCTGAGATGTGTGCAAACCTGGTGGCCAACTACAAGAAACGTCTGACCTCTGTGATTGCCAACAAGGGTTTTGCCACCAAGTACTAAGTCATGTTTTGCAGAGGGATCAAATACTTATTTCCCTCATTAAAATGCAAATCAATTTACAACATTTTTGACATGCGTTTTTCTGGATTTTTGTTGTTGTTATTGTCTCTCACTGTTCAAATAAACCTACCATTAAAATTATAGACTGATCATGTCTTTGTCAGTGGGCAAACGTACAAAATCAGCAGGGGATCAAATACTTTTTTCCCTCACTGTAGATGTTGAAGTCTGGAGAATACAAGCTACCTCTGCTAATAACACTAAGGTTTTGCTGGTGTAGAATATTTACCTTCTTGTCTCGACTCGACGTCACAAAGTACTTGTTGTCGACGCTCCAGTCACATGACCATATGATGCGTGTGTGTACAGCAATGTCCTTCCTGGTGTGTGTGTACAGGGAGAAATGAGGTTCTGGACAGGGAAGGAGCACACCCACAAACAATATATGATATTATTTCAAATATCCATCTACCTTCCACTTTGCATTAGTGTTGAAACACACAAAGCTACATGCCACACACAAAGAAACAGTCTGTCTAAACAGTACATAACTGCTCAGCGGTAACAATGAATCTCTCTAATGACAAACAAATAAACCCAGAGCCTCAGTTACTCCTCCCCCTGATGTCTGTCATTAATGTTGGTCGTGACACACTGCATCCTGGGTAGTTCCAGCAGCCACCCTTCTAGAGAGACACACTGCTGTCTGTGTAGTTCCAACAGCCATCGCTCTAGAGAGACACACTGCTGTCTGTGTAGTTCCAACAGCCATCGCTCTAGAGAGACACACTGCTGTCTGTGTAGTTCCAGCAGCCATCGCTCTAGAGAGACACACTGCTGTCTGTGTAGTTCCAGCAGCCATCGCTCTAGAGAGACACAATGCTGTCTGTGTAGTTCCAGCAGCCATCGCTCTAGAGAGACACACTGCTGTCTGTGTAGTTCCAGCAGCCACCCTTCTAGAGAGACACACTGCTGTCTGTGTAGTTCCAGCAGCCATCGCTCTAGAGAGACACACTGCTGTCTGTGTAGTTCCAGCAGCCATCGCTCTAGAGAGACACAATGCTGTCTGTGTAGTTCCAGCAGCCATCGCTCTAGAGAGACACACTGCTGTCTGTGTAGTTCCAGCAGCCACCCTTCTAGAGAGACACACTGCTGTCTGTGTAGTTCCAGCAGCCACCCATCTAGAGAGACACACTGCTGTCTGTGTAGTTCCAGCAGCCATCGCTCTAGAGAGACACACTGCTGTCTGTGTAGTTCCAGCAGCCACCCTTCTAGAGAGACACACTGCTGTCTGTGTAGTTCCAACAGCCATCGCTCTAGAGAGACACACTGCTGTCTGTGTAGTTCCAGCAGCCACCCATCTAGAGAGACACACTGCAGTCTGTGTAGTTCCAGCAGCCATCGCTCAAGAGACACACACTGCTGTCTGTGTAGTTCCAGCAGCCACCCTCTAGAGAGACACACTGCTGTCTGTGTATTTCCAGCAGCCATCGCTCTAGAGACACACTGCTGTCTGTGTAGTTCCAGCAGCCATCACTCTAGAGAGACACACTGCTGTCTGTGTAGTTCCAGCAGCCACCCATCTAGAGAGACACACTGCTGTCTGTGTAGTTCCAGCAGCCACCCTTCTACAGAGACACACTGCTGTCTGTGTAGTTCCAGCAGCCAGCCATCTAGAGAGACACACTGCAGTCTGTGTAGTTCCAGCAGCCACCCATCTAGAGAGACACACTGCAGTCTGTGTAGTTCCAGCAGCCACCCTTCTACAGAGACACACTGCTGTCTGTGTAGTTCCAGCAGCCAGCCACGGTATTGTTTTCCCCCTCTAGAGAGGTTATTTGTATTCAGGCAGGGTGTCTGGCTCTGTCTGTCTGTATCAGCCCACGTCCAGACACACACACCTAGACAGACAGGATAAGGCTGGCTCTGTCTCTCTGTCTGTATCAGCGCACACACACACACACACAGGAAGAGACCTGTCTTCTCTCTACTTCCAGCCACTCTCCATCCCTTTCCTGGCGGGGGCAGCACTGGGCTTTCCAGCCCCCCGATTGGCAAGTCTGGACTGGTTAAGCAGAGAGAGATAGAGCGAGAGCGAGCGAGAGAGAGAGAGAGAGATTTGGGACAGACAGAGCGAGGAAGAGAGGGAAAGCGAGGGAGGGAGGGAAAGAGAGGGGGGGAACACGTCCACATCAGTTTGATAGAGATTTGTGGGTGTGTGACGCGGGAGGACAGGGAGCGCTGGGAGAGCAGGGTGTTTGATCACACCTGACACAGTCTAAACTCCCCTGGTCTGGGGGGCTGGGAGGACACTGCTAAGCTAGTGTGTGTGTGTGTGTATATGTATGTGTGTGTTAGCCTGTGAGTAATTCAAGGTTCAACTGGAATAGACTGCCAGTCCGCCGGGCACAGGGGAACCCACCAAGGCTCCCGCCAAAAAGGAAAATAGGTAAAGAAAAACAGTCGCACCGCCGGTTAGGGCCATGTCACTGGTGATTTACCTGACTGGGTTTAAATGGGGATTGAAGACGTTGGTTGTTGGTGCTAGAGGAACACATTGGTCTTAAAATATGTGGTGGTTCAGCTCATTCTGCTATTGTGTTTGTTGTATTCTCCAGTGCTAGCCGTACTGAGTGTTGGGATGCAAGCTCAGGGAAAGCCTCTTTACAGGCTCATTGATACCACTTGAACTATCCCTAGGTTAACTTAAACAAAACTAGCTCTTGGCTGCATAAACATAATAATAATATAATAATAATATGCCATTTAGCAGACGCTTTTATCCAAAGCGACTTACAGTCATGCGTGCATACATTTTTTTTTGTATATGATCATGTCTTTGTCAGTGGGCATTGATATGAACCTGAACTAACTCCTAAAGCAGGGAGAAAATAAAATGAAAAGTGACCAGTAAAAAAAATCTAATCAACAACGAAGAAGACAGACAGACAGACATGACACGACACGACATGACCCTTCAGCTCACCTGTGTCTGTACGGGTGGCAGCGGGGTAGTCCCGTCTCCATAGCGACCAGGTCCTGTCCCGGGACACGGCCAATAGGAAGTGTCCGTTGGGGGAGAAGGCCATCTGGGTGACGGTGAGGCTGTGGTAGGGCAGCACCTGCAGCTGGCGCCAGGTGGTGGCGCTCCAGAGCAGCACGGCTGCGTGCTCAGCCTTAGAGGCCTAGAACCAGAGAAGAAGAGAAGCACTTGGAGGACAATACTGAACTAGCTCAGCCTTAGAGACCTAGAACCAGAGAAGAAGAGAAGCACTTGGAGGACAATACTGAACTAGCTTAGACTTACAGCCCATGTTAACTGGGGAAGATGTATTGCCGATCCAAGCTAGCCTCGTCCAACGTGGCTTGCCATGTGGTTGCTAACAAGCTGAGAGCATGCTAGGTAGCGCTAGGTATCAACATCCAATCCCAGTAGGAGCTATATTGAGCTTCGATTGGTCAATTGTGGCTCGATATCGGCGAGTATTTGCATAAAGTTCCGCTTTCCCCAACTTATGTCCCGCCCTGTTCTCCTCACCCTCTGTTTGGTGAACACCGATATTAAGCTTTGACGTAAACATTATGTACTAGCAACGCTGGTATAGTCTACTCCCGTAATAATAATACAAAATACAGTTGAAGTCGGAAGTTTACATACACCTTAGCCAAATACATTTAAACTCAGTTTTTCCACAATTCCTGACATTTAATCCTGGTAAAAATTCCGTCTTAGGTCAGTTAGGATCACCACTTTATTTTAATTTTAAGAATGTAAAATGTCAGAATAATAGTAGAGCGAATGATTTATTTCAGCTTTTATTTATTTCATCACATTCCCAGTGGGTCAGAAGTTTACATACACTCAATTAGTATTTGGTAGCACTGCCTTTAAATTGTTTAACTTGGGTCAAACGTTTCGGGTAGCCTTCCACAAGCTTCCCACAATAAGTTGGGTGAATTTTGGCCCATTCCTCCTGACAGAGCTGGTGTAACTGAGTCAGGTTTGTAGGCCTCCTTGCTCGCACACGCTTTTTCACTTTTCAGTGGACACGCTGCCCACACATTTTCTATAGGATTGAGGTCAGGGCTTTGTGATGGCCACTCCAATACCTTGACTTTGTTGTCCTTAAGCCATTTTGCCACAACTTTGGAAGTATGCTTGGTGTCATTGTCCATTTGGAAGAATCATTTGCGACCAAGCTTTAACTTCCTGACTGATGTTGCTTCAATATATCCACATAGTTTTCCTTCCTCATGATGCCATCTATTTTGTGAAGTGCACCAGTCCCTCCTGCAGCAAAGTACCCCCACAGCATGATGCTGCCACCCCCGTGCTTCACAGTTGGGATGGTGTTCTTCGGCTTGCAAGTTTCCCCCTTTTTCCTCCAAACATAACGATGGTCATTATGGCCAAACAGTTCTATTTTTGTTTCTTCAGACCAGAGGACATTTCTCCAAAAAGTACGATCTTTGTCCCCATGTGCAGTTGCAAACCGTAGTCTGGCTTTTTAATGGCGATTTTGGAGCAGTGGCTTCTTCCTTGCTGAGCGGCCTTTCAGGTTATGTCGATTTAGGACTTGTTTTACTGTGGATATAGATACTTTTGTACCCGTTTCCTCCAGCATCTTCACAAGGTCCTTTGCTGTTGTTCTGGGATTGATTTGCACTTTTCGCACCAAAGTACATTAATCTCTAGGAGACAGAACGTGTCTCCTTCTTGAGCGGTATGATGGCTGCGTGGTCCCTGTACTATTGTTTGTACAGATGAATGTGGTACCTTCAGGCGTTTGGAAATTGCACCCAAGGATGAACTAGACTTGTGGAGGTCTACAAATTTTTTTCTGAGGTCTTGGCTGATTTCTTTTGATATTCCCATGATGTCAAGCAAAGAGGCACTGAGTTTGAAGGTAGGCCTTGAAATACATCCACAGGTACACCTCCAATTGACTCAAATGATGTCAATTAGCCTATCAGAAGCTTCTAAAGCCATGACATCATTTTCTGGAATTTTCCAAGCTGTTTAAAGGCACAGTCAACTTAGTGTATGTAAACTTCTGACCCACTGGAATTGTGATACAGTGAATTATAAGTGAAATAATCTGTCTGTAAACAATTGTTGGAAAAATTACTTGTGTCATGCACAAAGTAGACGTCCTAACCGACTTGCCAAAACTATAGTTTCTTAACAAGAAATTTGTGGAGTGGTTGAAAAACGAGTTTTAATGACTCCAACCTAAGTGTATGTAAACCTCCGACTTCAACTGTATATGTTGGCCAATGGTTTTTATTGGATAAAGGAGAGACAGTAGGAAAGATAATGGGCCAAATTGGAAACCACAGCAACCCTGCTGTACGCGGCGTCACTGACCGCTAGTCCACCCAGGTCACGTGACATCTGCCTTCCTCTGTGTGCTAACGTGTGTGTCCATCTGTCTGTCTATGTGTATTTTTGTGTGTGTCTCTTTCAGTGTGTTCATTCCCAATTGTGCTTGTGTGTGTGTGTGTGTGTGTGTGTGTGTGTGTGTGTTCGTACCTGTCGCCCAGAGCACTAGTGCCACACCTGACCAAGGCAAACTGACAGTAGAGCAGACAGTAACCCTGGCGTGTGTGTATGTGTGTGTGTGTGTGTGTGTGTGTGTGTGTGTGTGTGTGTGTGTGTGTGTAGGAGTGATGAGGGATGGCAGCGACAGGGAGGATGTTGGCAGGCAACATGGAGAATGTGCTTCTCTTCACAGGACCCTGAGTGTGATCTGTAGCTGTGTGTACAGTGGGGGAAAAAAGTATTTAGTCAGCCACCAATTGTGCAAGTTCTCCCACTTAAAAAGATGAGAGAGGCCTGTAATTTTCATCATAGGTACACGTCAACAAAAAACAGCTTTGCACACTCTTGGCATTCTCTCAACCAGCTTCATGAGGAATGCTTTTCCAACAGTCTTGAAGGAGTTCCCACATATGCTGAGCACTTCTTGGCTGCTTTTCCTTCACTCTGCGGTCTGACTCATCCCAAACCATCTCAATTGGGTAGAGGTCGGGTGATTGTGGAGGCCAGGTCATCTGAAGCAGCACTCCATCTCTCTCCTTGGTCAAATAGCCCTTACACAGCCTGGGGGGTGTGTTTTGGGTCATTGTCCTGTTGAAAAACAAATGATTGTCCCACTAAGCGCAAACCAGATGGGATGGCGTATCGCTGCAGAATGCTGTGGTAGCCATGCTGGTTAAGTGTGCCTTGAATTCTAAATACATCACAGACAGTGTCACGAGCAAAGCACCCCCACACCATCACACCTCCTCCTCCATGCATCACGGTGGGAACCACACATGCGGAGATCATCTGTTCACCTACTCTGCATCTCACAAAGACACGGAGGTTGGAACCAAAAATCTCAAATTTGGACTCATCAGACCAAAGGACAGATTTCCACCGGTCTAATGTCCATTGCTCGTGTCCATTGCTCTTGAAGGAAAAGCAGCCAACAAGTGCTCAGCATATGTGGGAACTCCTTCAAGACTGTTGGAAAAGCATTCCTAATGAAGCTGGTTGAGAGAATGCCATGAGTGTGCAAAGCTGTCATCAAGGCAAAGGGTGGCTACTTTGAAGAATATAAAATATCAAATATATTTTGATTTGTTTAGCACTTTTTGGGTTACTACATGATTCCATATGTGTTATTTCTTGTTTTGATGTCTTCACTATTATTCTACAATGTAGAAAATAGTAAAAATATTTTGACTGATACTGTATATACACAGTGCATTCGGAAAGTATTCAGACCCCTTCCCATTTTCCACATTTTGTTACGTTACAGCCTTATTCTAAAATGGATTAAATAAATAAAAATCCTCATCAATCTACACACAATACCCCATAATGACAAAGCAAAAACAGTTTAAAAAAAAACATAAATATCACATTTACATAAGTATTCAAACTCTTTGCTACAAGAATCGAAATTGAGCTCAGGTGCATGCTGTTTCCATTGATCATCCTTGAGATGTTTCTACAATTTGATTGGAGTCCACCCGTGGTAAATTCAATTGATTGGACATGATTTGGAAAGGCACACACCTGTCTATATAAGGTCCCACATTTGACAGTGCATGTCAGAGCAAAAACCAAGTAATGAGGTTGAAGGAATTGTCTGTAGAGCTCCGAGACAGGATTGTGTCGAGGCACAGATCTGGGGAAGTGTATCAAAAAAAGTTTGGAACCACTAAGGCTCTTCCTAGAGCTGGCCGCCCGGACAAACTGAGCAATCGGGGGAGCAGGGCCTTGGTCAGGGAGGTGACCAAGAACCCGATGGTCACTCTGACAGAGCTCCAGAGTTCCTCTGTGGAGATGGGAAAACCTTCCAGAAGGACAACCATCTCTGCAGCACTCCACCAATCAGGCCTTTATGATTGAGTGGCCAGACGGAAGCCACTCCTCAGTAAAAGGCACATGACAGCCTGCTTGGAGACAAAAGGCGCCTAAAGACTCTCAGACCATGAGAAACAAGATTCTCTGGTCTGATGAAACCAAGATTGAACTCTTTGGCCTGAATGCCAAGCGTCACGTCTGGAGGAAACCTGGCACCATCCCTACGGTGAAGCATGGTGGTGGCAGCATCATGCTGTGGGGATGTTTTTTAGAGGCAGGAACTGGGAGACTAGTCAGGATCGAGGGAAAGATGAACAGAGCAAAGCACAGAGAGATCCTTGATGACCTGCTCCAGAGCGCTCAAGACCTCAGACTGGGGGCGAAGGTTCACCTTCCAACAGGACAACGACCCTAAGCACACAGCCAAGACAACGCAGGAGTGGCTTCGGGACATGTCTCTGAATGTCCTTGAGTGGCCCAGCGAGAGCCCGGACTTGAACCAGAACGAACATCTCTGTAGAGACCTGAAAATAGCTGTGCAGCGACACTCCCCATCCTACCTGACAGAACTTGAGAGGATCTGCTGAGAAGAATGGTAGAAACTCCCCAAATAGAGGTGGGCCAAGCTTGTAGCGTCATACCCAAGAAGACTCGAGGCTGTAATCACTGCCAAAGGTGCTTCAACAAAGTACTGAGTAAAGGGTCTGAATACTTATGTAAATGTCATATTTCAGTTTTTCTAAAAACCTGTCTTTGCTTTGTCATTATGGGGTATTGTGTGTAGATTGATGATGACAAAAACAAACAATTTCATCAATTTTAGAATAAGGCTGTAATGTAACAAAATGTGGAAAAAGTCAAGGGGTCTGAACACTTTCCGAATACGGAAGAGGAACTGATCTTTAAAAAATTAAGGACAGTTATTAAAATAAAAAAAGCATTTTCAATGGAGGTTCTCCATTGCTTTTTTAGTCCATGACTAGGCTTAATCTGTGTCCGGGAAACAAGTCACTAGTCCTTGCAACAGACTGCAGTAGCACTAATGACTACAATTTGAGGTGTGTGTGTGTGTGTGTGTGTGGTAGTTTCAGGTAGTCGTGTGGCTTTTGGCCCCTCACTTGTCACGCTACCTTACATGCAGACGCCACCACCGTCCTCCCGCTGTCAGACGCCAGACAGAACATCTCAAAGCCGTGTCCGTACCTGGAGAGAGGGACCGAGGGAGAGAGGGACCGAGGGAGGGAGAGACGGAGGGAGGGAGAGGAAAAAAGAAAGAGGGAACAATAAAGAGAGAGAAAGGAGGGAATGGAATGAGGGAAGAGGAGGAGTGATAAGAGCTTAGTCACTGATAAGACTGTTATAAAAGCCAAGTAGTCAAACTTGAAGCACAAACAATTGTCCTGAAATCTTTCAAATTCTGCATCTAACAATCTCAATAGAATCTCACTTCTCGTGTCGGAGCTGCCAGGTTCTAAACAGGCGCATTTGGAACAGAGGCCAAGTCCCAAATGGCACCCTAATCCCTATGTAGCGCACTACTTTTTTTACCAGGGCCCATAGGGATTAGGGTTACATTTGGAACACAAGCCAGAGAGTTTTCTGTATGGCATTATGGAGATGCCCCTTAGACAGGCTGGAAAGCTTAAGACAACACAGATACCTTACTGGTAAATAAGACTGCTGGAGCTATTTAGACTGTGGAATTAAACAGTGAGGTACAGGACTCTTGAATGACGGACTGAACGCAAGCGCAAACACACAAAAACAAAGTGATTATGCACTGGCTAATTATTCAACCTTTAATTGCTTTCAGGCCGCGGAAAATCTACTTGATGTTTTAAAAGTGAGCAATCACCAAACCATAGATTTTCAGCCAGGTGGGAGAAACATCTCATCCTCTCAACCTACCAAACCTAAACATTTCATATTCAGAAATATACACAAAATAGATACACCACCACAAAATCATTGAACCACAAAAATAATATGCCACTTATCTATTTTTATGTTAGCTATTAAGCATCCAATTATACAATTAATTCCTTGCCAAATGGGAGTAAGAAAAGTGCTATTCAAAAACACAATGGCTGCACTTTCAAGTTGTATGTCATGTTAATGCAGGATTGACTGGTAAATGGATTTAACATTAGCCACAAATGGAGGCGATATATTCTACTGGGGAGAGAAGAGGCTCATGGGGCATGGGGGGGAAATCTGCATTCTGATTGGTGGTGGGGGGGCTTTTGGCTGACTGGCTGGATGGCTGTCTCTGAAGGGCATTTAGAAACTAAATTTTCAGACACATTAATCCTCACAGGCAGCGAAACAAAAAATAACCAGTTATTTGTCTATAAATATGAGAAATGTGTCAAAACGTTATCGCAAGGAAAATGGATGCTGCTCACAAAAGGTTGAAATCACACATGCCTCATATACATTCCAATACAGTAGGAAACAGTGCTAAAACAATTTTGCTGTCAAGGCCCCATCTGATTCTGTAGTTGATGAAGCGGGTGCAAAAGTTGTGCTCTCTGACATTGGCTGCCTTTATACAGGCAGCCCAATTCTGATCTTTTGGCAAAAGAGTTAATCTGATTGGTCAAAAGACCAATTAGTGGAAAAAGATCTGAATTGGCCTGCCTGTATAAACGCAGCCATTGAAACAGAAAATGTGTGTCAAATAAAATAAAATTGTATTTGTCACATGCACCGAACACAACAAGTTCAAACTTAACAGTGAAATTGCTTACTTACGAGCCCTTTCCCAACAATGCAGTTAAAAAGTACGAAAATAAACAAATAGATACAAAAATAAAATAGTAACACAATAAAATAACAATAAAATAACAATAACAAGGGTTATTGTGTGTGCACGCATGCGTGCATATGAGGATGGAAAGGAAAGGACTAGTTAGAAGGATAATGGGACACTTACAGTTTTTGGACCTCAGGCCATAGTGTATTTTGGAGGAGGTGGTCCTCTGGAGGGGGCTCTGTGGATTCACGAGCGCACACACACACACACACAAAATAACAAAGAAAGTCAATTTCAAAATCCTTACATATCTACTCAACATATTCAACATTAGCTTGTTTTATAATTCAAAATGGGAACCATTTTCCTATTGACTAAATTAAGATTGTACCTAAGTGTCTGGCTGTTGTGATTTTCTTGTTTAACAACCCACCTAACGTTAAGCAGGGAGGGAGAGAGGGAGTAAAAGGAGTAAAAAGAAAGAGAGAGGGAATTAAAGACGCGAGGCACACTGGAGACACGAATCAGAATGAAGAACACAATTGACCGCCTCAAGACAACGTTTTCTCGTTTTCTTCACAGCGCTCATCGTTAGCATTTAGCTCCAATGTGTAACCCTCAACTTGCTATTTCTGAAAAGCAATTTTGAACGAGGCTTTATCTCCCAATTTTCAACGGCTGTTAGCTTTGAGGGGTGCTGCGAAATGAGAATCAAATGTACCCCCTCTCTCATTCTCCACCCATGGCAAGACGACTTCTATTCACCATCTACTCCTTCAGACACATAGCGTGTCCCAAATGGCACCCTATTCCCTTTATAGTCCTATTGGCCCTGGTCAAAAGTAGTGCACTATGTTGGGAATAGGTTGCCATTTGGGACGCAGCCACTTACACAACCCATCCTCTCCTTCATTACACATGAAATTGAAAGCCTAGTTCCCCCTCTTTTTTTTTTATTTGTCCCAGGCTTCCCATTTCTCCCTAATTGTTCCCTCCCTTTACCCCCTCTAGTAGTGAATCAGAGACATGGCATTATTCTGTTAACTCATTATTCTGTTAACAACTCTGTGTCTGCTTCATTTCCCTCTCCCCATAGCCCTCTACGAACACACACACACACACACACAGTAGCCCTGTACATCAATATTATAATTTCGCTCTGTACAGACACACACACACGTGCGCACAAACACACACATAGAACCCTGTAGACTAGAGCCATCAATATCATAACTCTGTAATCAAATACAGTGCCTTCAGAAGGTATTCATACCCCTTCACTTATTCCACATTTTGTTGCATTACAGCCTGAATTCAAAATGGATTAAATTGATTTGTTTTCTCACCCATCTAAAAGAAATACTCCATCATTACAAAGTTAAAACATGTTTAGAAATGCAAATTGATTGAAAATGAAATACAGAAAAATATAATTGATATAAGTATTCACACCCGAGTCAATACTTTGTAGAAGCACCTTTGGCGGCGATTACAGCTTTGAGTCATCTTGGGTATGTCTGCATCAGCTTTGTACATCTGGGTTTGGGGATTTTCACCCATTCTTCCTTGCAGATTTTCTCAAGCTGTATTAAGTTTTATGGGGAGCGGCGGTGAACAGCAATCTTCAAGTCTTTCCACAGATTTTCAGTGGGATTGAATTCGTTTTTTTTTTGCTGGGCAACTCAATGACTTTCACATTCTTGTTCTGAAGCCATTCCAGCGTTGCTTTGGTTGTATGCTTGGGGTAATTGTCCTGTTGGAACATAAATCTTCGCCCCCAGTCTAAGGTCATTTGCACTCTGAAGCAGGTTCTCTTCAAGGATTTGCCTGTATTTGGCACCATTCATGGTCCCTCTATCCTTACCAGTCTCCCAGTCCCTGCCGCTGAAAAGCATCCTCATAGCATGATGCTGCCACCACCATGCTTCACGGTAGGGATGGTGTTAGATGGGTGATGAGATGTGTCTGGTTTTCTCCAGACATAGCGCTTTGCATTCAGTCCAAATAGTTCAATTTATGTCTCAACAGACCACAGAATCTTTTGCCTTATGCTCGGAGTCTTTCACGTGCCTTTTTGCAAACTCCAGGCGTGCAGTCATGTGCCTTTTTCTCAGGAGTGGTTTCCATCTGGCCACTCTCCCATAAAGCCCAGATTGGTGAAGTGCTGTAGAGACTGTTGTCCTTCTGGCAGGTTCTCCCATCTCAGCCAAGGAACTCTGTAGTGCTGTCAGAGTGGACACTGGGTTCTTAGTCACCTCCCTGACCAAGGTCCTTCTTGCCCGGTTGCTCAGTTTGGTCGGACGGCCAGCTCTAGGCAGAGACTGGGTAGTTCCATATTTTGTCAATTTCCCAATGATGGAGACCACTGTGCTCTTGGAAACTTTCAACAATCAAGAAATTGTTTTATACCCTTCCCCAGATACAGTGGGGGAAAAAAGTATTTAGTCAGTCACCAATTGTGCAAGTTCTCCCACTTAAAAAGATGAGAGAGGCCTGTAATTTTTATCATAGGTACACGTCAACTATGACAGACAAATTGAGATTTTTTTTCTCCAGAAAATCACATTGTAGGATTTTTAATGAATTTATTTGCAAATTATGGTGGAAAATAAGTATTTGGTCACCTACAAACAAGCAAGATTTCTGGCTCTCACAGACCTGTAACTTCTTCTTTAAGAGGCTCCTCTGTCCTCCACTCGTTACCTGTATTAATGGCACCTGTTTGAACTTGTTATCAGTATAAAAGACACCTGTCCACAACCTCAAACAGTCACACTCCAAACTCCACTATGGCCAAGACCAAAGAGCTGTCAAAGGACACCAGAAACAAAATTGTAGACCTGCACCAGGCTGGGAAGACTGAATCTGCAATAGGTAAGCAGCTTGGTTTGAAGAAATCAACTGTGGGAGCAATTATTAGGAAATGGAAGACATACAAGACCACTGATAATCTCCCTCGATCTGGGGCTCCACGCAAGATCTCACCCCGTGGGGTCAAAATGATCACAAGAACGGTGAGCAAAAATCCCAGAACCACACGGGGGGACCTAGTGAATGACCTGCAGAGAGCTGGGACCAAATTAACAAAGCCTACCATCAGTAACACACTACGCCGCCAGGGACTCAAATCCTGCAGTGCAAGACGTGTCCCCCTGCTTAAGCCAGTACATGTCCAGGCCCGTCTGAAGTTTGCTAGAGTGCATTTGGATGATCCAGAAGAGGATTGGGAGAATGTCATATGGTCAGATGAAACCAAAATATAACTTTTTGGTAAAAACTCAACTCGTCGTGTTTGGAGGACAAAGAATGCTGAGTTGCATCCAAAGAACACCATACCTACTGTGAACCATGGGGGTGGAAACATCATGCTTTGGGGCTGTTTTTCTGCAAAGGGACCAGGACGACTGATCCGTGTAAAGGAAAAAATGAATGGGGCCATGTATCATGAGATTTTGAGTGAAAACCTCCTTCCATCAGCAAGGGCATTGAAGATGAAACGTGGCTGGGTCTTTCAGCATGACAATGATCCCAAACAGACCGCCCGGGCAACGAAGGAGTGGCTTCGTAAGAAGCATTTCAAGGTCCTGGAGTGGCCTAGCCAGTCTCCAGATCTCAACCCCATAGAAAATCTTTGGAGGGAGTTGAAAGTCTGTGTTGCCCAGCGGCAGCCCCAAAACATCACTGCTCTAGAGGAGATCTGCATGGAGGAATGGGCCAAAATACCAGCAACAGTGTGTGAAAACCTTGTGAAGACTTACAGAAAACGTTTGACCTGTGTCATTGCCAACAAAGGGTATATAACAAAGTATTGAGAAACTTTTGTTATTGACCAAATACTTATTTTCCACCATAATTTGCAAATAAATTCATTAAAAATCCTACAATGTGATTTTCTGGATTTTCTTTCCTCATTTTGTCTGTCATAGTTGACGTGTACCTATGATGAAAATTACAGGCCTCTCTCATCTTTTTAAGTGGGAGAACTTGCACAATTGGTGGCTGACTAAATACTTTTTTTCCCCACTGTATATATATATATATATGCCTCATAACAATTCCATCTCGGAGATCTACAGACAGTCCCTTGGACTTCAGGGTATAGTTTCTGCTCTGACATGCCCTGTCAACTGTAAGACCTTACATAAACAGGTGTGTTTCTTTCCATATCATGTCCAAACAATTGAATTGGCCACAGGTGGACTCCAATCAAGTTGTAGTGGCATCTCAAGGATGATCAAAGGAAATTGGATGCACCTGAGCTCAATTTGGAGTGTCATAGCAAAGGGGTGTGAATACTTACAGTATCAGTCAAAGGTTTGGACACACCTATTCATTCAAGGGTTTTTCTTTATTTTGACTATTTTCTACATTGTAGAATAATAGTTACGACATCAAAAACTATGAAATAACACATATGGAATCATGTAGTAACCCAAAAATATGTTATATTCTTCAAAGTAGCCACCCTTTGCCTTGATGACAGCTTTGCATACTCTTGGCATTCTCTCAACCAGCTTCATGAGGAATGCTTTTCCAACAGTCTTGAAGGAGTTTCCACATATGCTGAGCACTTCTTGGCTGCTTTTCCTTCACTCTTCAGTCCAACTCATCCCAAACCATCTCAATTGGGTTGAGGTCGGGTGATTGTGGAGGCCAGGCCATCTGATGCAGCACTCCATCACTCTCCTTGGTCAAATAGCCCTTACACAGCCTGGAGGTGTGTTTTGGGTCATTGTCCTGTTGAAAAACAAATGATAGTCCCACTAAGCGCAAACCAGATGGGATGGCGTATCGCTGCAGAATGCTGTGGTAGCCATGTTGGTTAAGTGTGCCTTGAATTCTAAATAAATCACAGACAGTGTTACCAGCAAAGCACACCCACACCATTACCCCTCCATGCTTCACGGTGGGAACCACACATGCGGTGATCATCCGTTCACCTACTCTGCGTTTCACAAAGACACAGCGGTTGGAACCAAATATCTCCAATTTGGACTCATCAGACCAAAGGACAGATTTCCACTGGTCCATTGCTCGTGTTTCTTGGCCCAAGCAAGTCTCTTCTTCTTATTGGTGTCCTTTGGTAGTGGTTTCTTTGCAGCAATTCGACCATGAAGGCCTGATTCACGCAATCTCCTCTGAACAGTTGATGTTGAGATGGGTCTGTTACTTGAACTCTGTGAAGCATTTATTTGGGCTGCAATTTCTGAGGCTGGTAACTCTAATGAACTTATCCTCTGCAGCAGAGGTTACTCTGGGTCTTCCATTCCTGTGGCGGTCCTCATGAGAGCCAGTTTCATTATAGCGCTTGGTTTTTGCGACTGCACTTGAAGAAACTTTCAAAGTTCTTGAAATGTTCCAGATTGACTGACCTTCATGTCTTAAAGTAATGATGGACTGTCGTTTCTCTTTGCTTATTTGAGCTGTTCTTGCCATAATATGGACTTGGTCTTTTACCAAATAGGGCTATTTTCTGTATACCACCCCTACCATGTCACAACACAACTGATTGGCTCAAACCCATTAAGAAGGAAAGAAATTCCACAAATTAACTTTAAACAAGGCACACCTGTTAATTGAAATGCATTCCAGGTGACTACCTCATGAAGCTGGTTGAGAGAATGCCAAGAGTGTGCAAAGCGGTCATCAAGGCAAAGGTTGGCTACTTTGAAGAATCTCAAATATACAATATATTTTGATTTGTTTAACACTTTTTAGTTTTTTAGTTTTGGTTCCATATGTGTTATTTCATAGTTTTAATGTCTTCATTATTATTCTATAATGTAGAAAATAGTAAAAAAACTATTACAGAAACTACAGAAAACCCCTGGAATGAGTAGGTGTGTCCAAACTGGTGTTTTGACTGGCACGGTATGTAAATGAGATATTTCTGTATTTCATTTTCAATCAAATTGCAAACATTTCTAAAAACATGTTGTCACTTCGTCATTATGGGGTATTGTGTATAGATGGGTGAGAGAAAAAAATATATTTAATCAATTTTGAATTCAGGCTGTAACAACAAAATGTGGAATAAGTCAAGGGGTATGAATACTTTCTGAAGAAACCGTAAGCCTTTATTCTAACTATGATCTCAGACTTTAAATAAATAAATAAGGAGCTTTTTACAAATCACAGTGAATGACAACCCTGACACCGTTTGCCTACAGCCAAGGTACCCAAAGCTTCCCCAACCCCCCGATTCGGTCTCCCTCCATCCCTCTCTCTCCCTCCCCTCTGCCATTCTCTCTCTGCCTCTCTTTTCCTCCCCCTCCCTCATGCTTCTCTTCCTCCTATCTCCAGTAGTTCGGATTCATCCCCCTCTTCTAACATGCAGAGCAGAGTGTCTACTAACTTTGAGAGAGAGAGAGAGAGAGAGAGAGAGAGAGAGAGAGAGAGAGAGAGAGAGAGAGAGAGAGAGAGAGAGAGAGAGAGAGAGAGAGAGAGAGAGAGCTGCACTGGCGAATTCTATAGGGACCCAGTAAACAAACAAAAAAATGTATGGTTTATGTAAGTCTGATGTTTTGTGGGAGTAAAGCCTCAGACATAAAAAGCTTTGTTGTTTTTAACTTGGACTAATATATGTTTTCAGTATGCAATACCATTAACTGTGAGAGGGTGGAAGTAGGACTCTTGGTATTGGTCAGAAACACTGTTGAACCCGGTTCCCTCCTCTTTATTGGTCTTGGGAGCAAGATCACCTGTCAATCAAAAGGAGAAACTATCAGAATCAGCCAGATGTAACGAGACATTGACCATTACATGCAGAAAGACCAAGTTTAGGATGAACGTAGGCTGCACTTACACAGGCAGCCCATTCTGATCTTTTGACCAATCATATCAGATCTTTTCACATCTGATCATTTTCAGAGCTTATGTGATTGGTCAAAAGACCAATTACTGAAAAAAATATCAGAATTGGGCTGCCTGTGTAAATGCAGCCTTAGAGCCATACCTTGAAACACAGCCTTGTTGGAGAGGCCTAGGGCAGGAGTACTGGCTCCTTCTGGTTGATCTACAGTGTCCTGATAAAGGGAAACAGACACACACAAACATACATACAGGGGAGAGGGTTCAAAAGGGAATCTCAACGGTGTAGGCTTTTTCTCTATCTTTTCTTCCTTTTTTTTTTGCATCCTCTTTCCTCGCATTAGAGAAGAAGGTCAGAGGGGAGGGACCTTGGACCTTCTCCTCCAATACGGTTGAGAAGGAGGACATAGGGTGAGGAACTGCGGAAAGGCCCTACAGTAGCAATTGGGGGTGATGTAGGAAGCAACTGGGGTTGATTGACACTACACTCGACCAATAACAAAGCGGGATGTTGATACGCCGACCAATAGCAAATCAGGATTTTGGAACTGCTACTCACACTGGAGGCCAGCAGCTTCTCCAGAGGTGTGCCAGAGATGTTGGCGAAGTTCTCCACAAAGTTGCGGGGGGCACGGAACACCCGCAGGACCTTCTCGTCGGCCCCGGAGACGTACTGGAAGCGCCCCACCATGGCCAGACACTGCATATCATAGCCGTGGATCTGGGGGCGAGAGATCTCGTGCCAGGTAGGCTGTAGTTAAGACACAGAGGACAGGGGGGGATTAGATATACTGAAGAGATACTGAGGTATAGTATTATAGTAAGAAACCTGGTGCCAGGTGGGCTGTGGGGAGGACAGAGGGTGTAAGAGATAGTAGAGGAAATGTTAGAAGAGGTCACCTATGGCTACGTCCCTAATGCCACCCCTATTCCCTATATTGTAACACTTTTGACCAGGGCCCATAGGGTATAGGGAATAGGGGTAGTGCACTACAGTGGGGAAAAAAAAGTATTTAGTCAGCCACCAATTGTGCAAGTTCTCCCACTTAAAAAGATGAGAGAGGCCTGTAATTTTCATCATAGGTACACGTCAACTATGACAGACAAAATGAGAAAAAAAAATCCAGAAAATCACATTGTAGGATTTTTTATGAATTTATTTGCAAATTATGGTGGAAAATAAGTATTTGGTCAATAACAAAAGTTTCTCAATACTTTGTTATATACCCTTTGTTGGCAATGACACAGGTCAAACGTTTTCTGTAAGTCTTCACAAGGTTTTCACACACTGTTGCTGGTATTTTGGCCCATTCCTCCATGCAGATCTCCTCTAGAGCAGTGATGTTTTGGGGCTGTCGCTGGGCAACACGGACTTTCAACTCCCTCCAAAGATTTTCTATGGGGTTGAGATCTGGAGACTGGCTAGGCCACTCCAGGACCTTGAAATGCTTCTTACGAAGCCACTCCTTCGTTGCCCGGGCGGTGTGTTTGGGATCATTGTCATGCTGAAAGACCCAGCCACGTTCATCTTCAATGCCCTTGCTGATGGAAGGAGGTTTTCACTCAAAATCTCACGATACATGGCCCCATTCATTCTTTCCTTTACACGGATCAGTCGTCCTGGTCCCTTTGCAGAAAAACAGCCCCAAAGCATGATGTTTCCACCCCCATGCTTCACAGTAGGTATGGTGTTCTTTGGATGCAACTCAGCATTCTTTGTCCTCCAAACACGACGAGTTGAGTTTTTACCAAAAAGTTCTATTTTGGATTCATCTGACCATATGACATTCTCCCAATCCTCTTCTGGATCATCCAAATGCATTCTAGCAAACTTCAGACGGGCCTGGACATGTACTGGCTTAAGCAGGGGGACACGTCCGGCACTGCAGGATTTGAGTCCCTGGCGGCGTAGTGTGTTACTGATGGTAGGCTTTGTTACTTTGGTCCCAGCTCTCTGCAGGTCATTCACTAGGTCCCCCCGTGTGGTTCTGGGATTTTTGCTCACCGTTCTTGTGATCATTTTGACCCCACAGGGTGAGATCTTGCGTGGAGCCCCAGATCGAGGGAGATTATCAGTGGTCTTGTATGTCTTCCATTTCCTAATAATTGCTCCCACAGTTGATTTCTTCAAACCAAGCTGCTTACCTATTGCAGATTCAGTCTTCCCAGCCTGGTGCAGGTCTACAATTTTGTTTCTGGTGTCCTTTGACAGCTCTTTGGTCTTGGCCATAGTGGAGTTTGGAGTGGTGACTGTTTGAGGTTGTGGACAGGTGTCTTTTATACTGATAACAAGTTCAAACAGGTGCCATTAATACAGGTAACGAGTGGAGGACAGAGGAGCCTCTTAAAGAAGAAGTTACAGGTCTGTGAGAGCCAGAAATCTTGCTTGTTTGTAGGTGACCAAATACTTATTTTCCACCATAATTTGCAAATAAATTCATTAAAAACCCTACAATGTGATTTTCTGGAGAAAAAAAATCTCAATATGTCTGTCATAGTTGACGTGTACCTATGATGAAAATTACAGGCCTCTCTCATCTTTTTAAGTGGGAGAACTTGCACAATTGGTGGCTGACTAAATACTTTTTTTCCCCACTATATATAGGCATTATATGGTGCTCTGTAGCTCAATTGGTAGAGCATGGCGCTTGTAACACCAGGGTAGTGGGTTCGATCCCCGGGACCACCCATAAGTAAAAATTTATGCACACATGACTGTAAGTCGCATTGGATAAAAGCGTCTGCTAAATGGCATATTATTATTATTATATTATTATTATTATTATTATTATTATTATTATATTATTATTATAGTGGATAGGGTGCCAGTTGGGACACAGCCTATATCTTTCCTATATCTTGTTTGTTATTTGCATTTTATACGCCTAAATGTATCCCTGGTGTACAATGTGACGTTGTGATGAGTTCAGAGCAGGGGTTAGGAAATGTGATGGTAACAAATACATGCGCATAACTTTGACAGAAGTATCCATCTTTAGAAATATATATTATTTTATTAGTTTTATGCAATCCTTGGAATTTTTACCCAACAATAGGTATTATGAAAAGTGGTACTGATCTAAAACGCACTATTCTCTTTTTAAAAAATCACCTCAGAGAGAAATAAGCCATTTGAATGTGGTTACGTGCCTGAATACGAGACAGAAAAACGCATTTGCCCTTCTTAACAAGGTTTTCCTGCCAGACAGACACATCACAGTAAAAACTTAAACAACAAATTGCTGACTTCTTTAAACCTTAACAAGTCCTCTATGAGAGAATGTAGGGCTAGTAAAACTATTTTATCTTCACAAACTGTTAATATTCTACTGTAAACGCAAAATGACGCAGTCCACAATATAACACTGCTATATTAAAAACATGCAAAAACAGGAGGATGATATTTGGCCATTACCAAGAGGAATAAGCACTTTGAGCAATAAAAGTACTTTGAGTTTTCGGGCCACAGTAATGTTGCCAGTCGTTTGGTTAAAGGCCTTAAAAAAGGCTCAATTCAATCGACTTACATTAAAGTGTTCATGCAGTAGTACACAACTTTTTTTTCCTGTGGTCAAATAGAATTGCAGTATGGTTTTATTACTAGGGCTCGGTAGGGGCATCAACATGGGCTTGTTCTGGAGGCAGCTCTGCAGATTGGTCACTAGCTGGCAGTCATAAAATCGGATTTAAACCTAACCCTAACCCTAATGCCTAACCCTAACCTTAAATTAAGACCAAAAACCTAGCCAATTTTGACTTTGCAGCTGGCCTATCTAAGGGGAAATCGCTCAGTTCTGCCTCCAGGACAAGACTAATGACAATAAAGTCAACCTGCTCAATGTGACGTCTATAGGGTACTTATTGATACGCCTCTATGTCTATTAATGTCTACAGTGCATCTGTGGGTCTGCCTATAGGAGTGAAAGGGGTCTTCAGGGCTCTCCAAACCTGTTCCTGGAGAGCCACTCCAACCCTAATCTAGCGTACCTAATTCTAAGAATTAGCTGGTTGATAAAATGAATTAGGTTAGTTACAACTGGGATTGGAGCGAAAACCTACAGGACGGTAGCTTTTCAGGAACAGGGTTGAAGAGCCCTGGGTTACATGTACCTGTGTTTGGTCCTTCCTCCTCCATGGTGTTAGTAGCCTGGTGGTCTGGTCTGACCCCACACTGAGGATGAAGTCCCCCTCAGGGTCCCAACTCAGGTCCTGCACTGCATTGAAGTGACCAGATATCACCACCCCTGGACTCCACTCTCCCTGGGACAACACACAGACATACCCTTTTTGCACTACTACTGAACCTGATACCTCCTTCACTACTACTGAACCTGATACCTCCTTCACTACTACTGAACCTGATACCTCCTTCACCACTACTGAACCTGATACCTCCTTCACTACTACTGAACCTGATACCTCCTTCACTACTACTGAACCTGATACCTCCTTCACTACTACTGAACCTGATACCTCCTTCACTACTACTGAACCTGATACCTCCTTCACCACTACTGAACCTGATACCTCCTTCACTACTACTGAACCTGATACCTCCTTCACCACTACTGAACCTGATACCTCCTTCACTACTACTGAACCTGATACCCCCTTCACTACTACTGAACCTGATACCTTCTTCACTACTACTGAACCTGATACCTCCTTCACTACTACTGAACCTGATACCTCCTTCACTACTACTGAACCTGATACCTCCTTCACTACTACTGAACCTGATACCTCCTTCACTACTACTGAACCTGATACCTCCTTCATTACTACTGAACCTGATACCTCCTTCACTACTACTGAACCTGATACCTCCTTCACTACTACTGAACCTGATATCTCCTTCACTAATACTGAACCTGATACCTTCTTCATTACTACTGAACCTGATACCTCCTTCACTACTACTGAACCTGATATCTCCTTCACTAATACTGAACCTGATACCTTCTTCATTAATACTGAACCTGATACCTCCTTCACTACTACTGAACCTGATATCTCCTTCACTAATACTGAACCTGATACCTTCTTCATTACTACTGAACCTGATACCTCCTTCACTACTACTGAACCTGATATCTCCTTCACTACTACTGAACCTGATACCTCCTTCACTACTACTGAACGTGATACCTCCTTCACTACTACTGAACCTGATACCTCCTTCACTACTACTGAACCTGATACCTCCTCCACTACTACTGAACCTGATACCTCCTCCACTACTACTGAACCTGATACCTCCTCCACTACTACTGAACCTGATACCTTCTTCCCACTTTCCTGCCGACCCAACCACACTGTGCTGTAGTGTTGTCACGAAGCAGAATTCACTCTAGGGTCCTTTATAACCTACTTTTGTACAATATTGTGTGCTATAGCTTGCAAAATAAACAAATGTGACTCTGGGTGAAAACATAAGGCTGTTTTTTCCAACATTAGGACTGTTTTCCTCAAGACATTCAGTCCTTTCCTTTCCTACTTCCTAGTATGGCCATACTGGTATAGTGACAACCCTACTGTGCTGACTCAGATATTTTGCTTTCACATTGAACCAGGCCAGTACAGCTCAACTCAGTTCAGTAGTGTGAAACAACAAGGGTAACAGAGTAGTCAGCCACTAAGAGTCAGGTCTAGTTCCCAGGGTAACATAGTAGTCAGCCACTCAGTCAGGTCTTGTTCCCAGGGTAACATAGTAGTCAGCCACTCAGTCAGGTCTTGTTCCCAGGGTAACATAGTAGTCAGCCACTCAGTCAGGTCTTGTTCCCAGGGTAACATAGTAGTCAGCCACTCAGTAAGGTCTTGTTCCCAGGGTAACATAGTAGTCAGCCACTCAGTCAGGTCTTGTTCCCAGGGTAACATAGTAGTCAGCCACTCAGTCAGGTCTTGTTCCCAGGGTAACATAGTAGTCAGCCACTCAGTCAGGTCTTGTTCCCAGGGTAACATAGTAGTCAGCCACTCAGTGAGGTCTTGTTCCCAGGGTAACATAGTAGTCAGCCACTCAGTCAGGTCTTGTTCCCAGGGTAACATAGTAGTCAGCCACTCAGTCAGGTCTTGTTCCCAGGGTAACATAGTAGTCAGCCACTCAGTCAGGTCTTGTTCCCAGGGTAACATAGTAGTCAGCCACTCAGTCAGGTCTTGTTCCCAGGGTAACATAGTAGTCAGCCACTCAGTCAGGTCTTGTTCCCAGGGTAACATAGTAGTCAGCCACTCAGTCAGGTCTTGTTCCCAGGGTAACATAGTAGTCAGCCACTCAGAGTCAGGTCTGATTCCCAGTCAAACACTGACAGCCAGGGTCTTTAGTCAGTCAGTCAGCCTAATTACACTTAGCACAGTCTCTCTCTAACAGTGTGGCTGACTGGGAACTCACTGTGATTGAATCGCATTTGAGATAGACCCATCACAGTGCCGCTCAATCAGTAGTCTATAGAATAGAACATAATAGGAATCTCACCTTTTTGCCTTGTTTTGTAGGTCCAGAGATGTAGAACAGAAAATAATAGGAGTCTCACCTCTTCCTCGTGGGCCTGGGTCCAGAGATGCAGCGCTCCGTGGAAGGAGTGGGCCAGGATCATGGATCCGTCTGGACTCATCTGGCAGCCGTAGAAACCCAGTGTGTTTCCCCCCACCTCCCCCACACGTACCTGGAGAGGAGTGAGTGAGAGAAATGGGGCAGTCATTTGACATCATCTAAAGTAAACCCATGGCTCCAGACATTCCAGCTAAACCCACACACAACTGCTGGCATCAGCTGTGTGATGAGTGATCCCTTTTTTAGGTCAGAACCTTTGCATCAGTGCAGTCTCACTGAAAATCCAATAGAAATCCACACTGGTTACTTCCCAAATGGCACCGTATTCCCTACATAGTGCACTACTTTTAAAACCGGGCACATAGGGCTCTGGTCGAAAGTAGTGCACTATAGTGAATAGGGGGCCATTTGGGATGCAGACTTTATTCTGCCCTTTATTCTAGCCTGTTTGAGTAGTTTATTTGGGTCCCATCTTTTGGGTCACCTCCAAAACACACAGTGTATAATGACTCTGTTGGGAGTCAGAGCAGTGGGGCCAGGACTTTTTACTGACCATGTGACGTTGCAACCAGGGAAAAACTCTGGGCCCTAGTTATATAGGGTTAGTGCTATCCGTGATCATTTGGACATCGCTACCCTAACCTTAACCCCTACCCCTACCCCTTACCATAACCCTTACCATAACCATTTTAAAATGTCAACTTCAATGGGGTAGGGACGTCGCAAGGACCCGGTTAGCAAGGACCCTAGTACTAGGCTGGTCAGGGATACCGGCTAGCAAAAACCCTAGTTCTAGGCTGGTCAAGGATCCCAGATAGCAAGGACCCTAGTTCTAGGCTGGTCAAGGATCCCAGATAGCAAGAACCCTAGTTCTAGACTGGTCAGGGATCCCAGATTGCAAGGACCCTAGTTCTAGGCTGGTCAGGGATCCCAGATAGCAAGGACCCTAGTTCTAGCCTGGTCAGGGATCCCAGATAGCAATAACCCTAGATCTAGGCTGGTCAGGGATCCCGGCTAGCAAGAACCCTAGTTCTAGCCTGGTCAGGGATCCCAGATAGCAATAACCCTAGTTCTAGGCTGGTCAGGGATCCCAGATAACAAGAACCCTAGTTCTAGGCTGGTCAGGGATCCTGGCTAGCAAGAACCCTAGTTCTAGGCTGGTCAGGGATCCCAGATAACAAGAACCCTAGTTCTAGGCTGGTCAGGGACCCCAGATAACAAGAACCCTAGTTCTAGGCTGGTCAGGGATCCCAGATAACAAGGACCCTAGTTCTAGGCTGGTCAGGGATCCGGGTAGCAAGAACCCTAGTTCTAGGCTGGTCAAGGATCCCAGCTAGCAAGAACCCTTGTTCTAGGCTGGTCAATGATCCCAGATAGCAAGGACCCTAGTGCTAGGCTGATCAATGATCCCAGATAGCAAGGACCCTAGTTCTAGGCTGGTCAAGGATCCCAGATTGCAAGAACCCTAGTTCTAGGCTGGTCAGGGATCCCAGATAGCAAGGACCCTACTTCTAGGCTGGTCAGGGATCCCAGCTAGCAAGGACCCTAGTTCTAGGCTGGTCAGGGATCCCAGATAGCAATAACCTTAGTTCTAGGCTGGTCAGGGAAAATGCCTGCCCCTACTAATTAGTAACGACCAATAGATAATCCCAGATGTCCCATCCAACCATCTCTTATTAACAAACACCCTCCAAGCACAAAGGCTTGGTGACAAACAAATCAGACAGTCAAGCCAGAAGAAGTAATTACACAAAGCTGTAAGACTCATTATTAGAGGGGAATAAATTGGTGTTATTTCTGGAAATTAATTTATCATCTAATGCGATAATGAAAGCAGTCACAGCGCTCCATATCACATTAAAGAAATGGGCACCAAAAAGGGCATAGCTCGTGAACATATTAAGACTAGACTAGGATTTGTATAAATTGGATTCGGGTGAGAGAGCCTTTGACCTGGGAATGTAATCGCTCCATAGATCTTACAAGTAGCTTATGTCCAAATGGCACCCTAATTGCTATATAGTGCTACTTTTGACCAGGGCCCATATGGAATAGGGTGCCATTTGGGATGCACACTAACACGTCTGCCCACTATATGACTATAAGCATGTATCGAAAAATCCCATTCATTTGAAAATGATCAGTAACCCCAGCTGTAACAGCCAATAGAGAATACATTATGTTCTTTCTACATCACAACCACATGCTCCATACTTAAATAATGCTATATTTAATTATGTAGAGAGAAAGTATGTAGTTCAATATATAAACTAGAGCCAGAATGATCTCTTTTCACTGGTTGAGTGAGTGGGATAAGTCTATCAGGGCCCATATTCAAGAGTGCTGATCTGGGATCAGGTCCCCCCGTCTATATAATCTTATTCAGTATAATGGAAAAAGCTAAACTGATCTTAGATCAGCACTCCTACTCTGGGAGGCTTTATGATAAGGGCCCCGATTCTGACAATTTTCCAATGAAGTCATTCGCCAATTAGCAATAGCGAAATGAAGATGGCTTAAGTGGTAAACAAGTACATTTCAGGCAGAGAGAATTGTGGGGGAAAAGAGGATTATAATTGAGTGATAACATTACGACGTAAAATAAATATAATTTTATGCAAATTAAGCCCTCACATGTACGCATTAATCCAGTTCCTGACACTAATATCCATGGAAAAACAATACTAAAAACAAATCAAAATAACACAAGACAGACCACATTAAAAACACTGTTTCTTGTGGGTTGTGTAACCAGTGGCATTTGCAGTAGGATTAAAGGCCAAGTGCACTCAAAAATGTGATTTTCCTGTGTTTTATATACAGTTCAAATCAAATCAAATGTTAGTCACATTCACCTTACAGTGAAATGCTTACTTACAAGCCCTTAACCAACAATGCAGTTAAGAAAAAAGTGTTAAGAAAGTATTTACTAAAATAAACTGAAGTAAAACAAATAAAAATAAAATAGAAATTTGCCAAAATAATGGAAACACTTGAGTACATGAGGAATACAAAGTATATTGAAAGCAGGTGCTTCCACACAGGTGAGGTTAATGAGTTAATTGAGCAATTAACATCCTATCATGCTTAGGGTCATGTATAAAAATGCTGGGCAGGCCATTATTTTGCCTACCATGGCTATGCCCCCATAGGATGAATTGTTCAATGAGCATGAAAACCATATACCATGACCGTCGCAGTCACCAGATCTCAACCCAATTGAACACTTATGGGAGATTCTGGAGCGGCGCCTGAGACTGTGTTGTCCACCACCATCAACAAAACACCAAATGATGGAATTTCCCGTGGAAGAATGGTCCGCATACCTCCAACAGAGTTCCAGTCACTTGTAGAATCTATGCCAAGGTGCACTGAAGCTGTTCTGGCTCGTGGTGGCCTATTAAGACCCTACTTTGGTGTTTCCTTTATTTGGCAGTTACTTGTATATTTCCACACTATGGGGTTGGAAAAATACTGTGAAATTTTGAAAATAATGATAGTGCCCTTAGCGTAAGAGCTGTTTGAAAAGAATGCCTAAAAGTCCAGCCTGTTTTGGTGGGTTGAAGTTTTGGCCTGCCTGGTGACATCACCAGGCTGTAAATTAGTTAATAGACCAATAAGAAAGAGAGTTCCAAACCTCTCAGCTAATAACAGCTAGTTTTCAGTTTTCCCCTCCCTACTCAGACCCCTCCCAGACAGTAGAGAGGAGAGAGAGAATAATCTAATTTAGCAGGCATTTCTTTCTTTCTGGTCCTGACGAGAGAGAAAAAACTGTTGAGGTTCTCTTCTCCACTGTAAATGTGGAGGAGTTGTTAAGATGGAGTCAGTGTCGCCTTTTTAACGTCAAAAAGTGGAAGTCGGGTCCTTTCACCTGAAAACCGGATGCATCCGGTTGTTGTCAACCCCGCAGCGGGTGGGTGGAAAGAGAGGAGACAGAGAGAACAACTTATTCTGCTCCCTCAGCACTTTGGCGTGTGTCCAATCTAGCCAAAGCTATCCAATATCTGTGTTAAGTGATTTATGGGCACATTCCACTATCCTATGGAATGTAATCAATTGTCCAGAAGTGTTGCAAAATATGAGAACTCAGAATATTATTCTGGCCTCAACGATAGTCAATGAATTAATCAATTTTCCTTGTTTGGATTGATCAAGTACAGTGCCTTGCAAAAGTATTCATCCCTCTTGGCGTTTTTCCTATTTTGTTGCATTACAACCTGTAATTTAAATGGATTTTTATTTGGATCTCATGTAATGGACATACACAAAATAGTCCAAATTGGTGAAGTGAAATGGGAAAAAATACTTGTTTCAAAAAATTCAAATAAATAAATAACGGAAAAGTGGTGCGTGCACATGTATTCACCCCCTTTGTTATGAAGCCCCTAAATAAGATCTGGTGCAACCAATTACCTTCAGAAGTCACATAATTAGTTAAATAAAGTCTACCTGTGTGTAATCTAAGTGTCACATGATCTGTCAGATGATCTCAGTGTATATATACACCTGTTCTGAAAGGCCCCAGAGTCTGCAACACCACTAAGCAAGGTGCACCACCAAGCAAGCGGCACTATGAAGACCAAGGAGCTCTCCAAACAGGTCAGGGACAATGTTGTGGAGAAGTACAGATCAGGGTTGGGTTATAAAAAAATATGTGAAACTTTGAACATCCCACAGAGCACCATTAAATCCATTATAATTTTTTTTTAAAGAATATGGCATCACACCAACCTGCCAAGAGAGGGCTGCCCATCAAAACTCACGGATCAGGCAAGGAGGGCGTTGCTTAAAGAAAGAAATAAGCAAACACGTTTGGTGTTCACCAAAAGGCATGTGGGAGACTCCCCAAACATATGGAAGAAGGTACTCTGTTCAGATGAGACTAAAATTTTGCTTTTTGGCCATCAAGAAAACGCTATGTCTGGCACAAACCCAACACCTCTCATCACCCCGAGAACACCATCGGCAGGGACTGGGAAACTGGTCAGAATTGAAGGAATGATGGATGGCGCTAAATACAGGGAAATTCTTGAGGGAAACCTGTTTCAGTCTTCCAGAGATTTGAGACTGGGACGGAGGTTCACCTTCCAGCAGGACAATGACCCTAAGCATACTGCTAAAGCAACACTCGAGTGGTTTAAGGGGAAA